GGCTACCAGTGGAATCCAGGAGGTACGTTTCGTCTTGCGTATAGCTGTAGCTCGTTGGTTTAGAGAGACGACTTTCAACCAATGGGTAGCGGGTTCGAGCTCCAATTCACCTAACAAAGTTTGCATAACCAAGTAGTATGACTAGCTCTCACACACAATAGGTGTGACTCATCGTCTGCTGCGCGAATATCCACAAGGTTTCTAAGTGCATTTCAGTTTGATTCACGTTTCATCCTACTTGGGAGTCATCAGCCGAATGTACTTACCTCACAGTGAGTGATACAAGCAGCAACGTCAAAACAGTTTCCCTCTCATGAGAAGTGGCCATCGTAACTCAGTAGCCCAGTGGGTAACGCTCTGATGTCTAAATCGATCCATCCGGAGTTTGAGTTGCAACATGAACACCGCTTACTGGGAGACAGGTACATCCAGCTGACGAATCACAAAATAGGACAAGATGCGCATCCTGAATTCCACTGCTAGCCACTAACCAGCATTAGTATCAAACGGGAACTGTAAGCAATATTGAGGCATCCGTGAAGGAGCTCATATGACAATAGAGAACGATAAATTAGGTCCAATCAACGATGAGAAATTACAAGCAATAACATGCAGTCATACAATAAGCTTAACACAGAAAATTATGCGTGCCCCAATTTGTTAGGTTAAAACGAATTAACCAATAAGATTGTGTGCGAATATCTACTGAACAAGTCGTCCTACTAGGGAAATCCATTCTAATGAAATACTTTTATGCCCATGCACGATATGATTACCTAAATAATACTGATTTCGTATAATAATATCTCCTTACTTTGATATTCAAAGTATAATCCAATTACTGATGTAGTAGTGTAATGAGAGATACTTATAGGTAAGGGTCCATATTAGTAGTATATATAGTAACATGGAAATTGACAACGATGGATTAGTGAAAAGTCAGACCAAAGTATCATATAATATTAAGTGAGAATGAAAAGCACAAAAAGTGAGCGGAATAGCATGCAGAAAAGTAGATAATTTGCAAATGGACAAATTATGCCTAGGAAATCTACTGATATCTTCAAACGAAACGATCTCAACTATCTTGGTTACATTGTGTTTTCTGAGTTGGGTTGTTTAATCGTGGAGCTCTTATCGTCTTGCTAGACACAACGTCACTACTAAATTGTGAGCTATCAATATCATTCCACGAGTAGTTTTGTAGCTTGCTCTGACCAACTAGTTCGTGATTCCTTGTTTCCTTTAACTGTGGTGTCATTGACTGTACAGATTTTCACGTTAGCTGCTCCTCTGCTTGACTACTGACCTTTCTGTCGTTTATCACTTTTACCATTGGTTGATAGATTGGGTCTTTGTCTATACATCCATTTATCGCTGACTGACTGACTAACTGACTGACCTGAACGCCAAGCTCCTAGGAATTCTCTCATATTCTTAGTATTTCCTCTCTCAATCCAACATTTCTACATAGTCAAAGTTCAATTCATGTCCACAGTTGTTATCCACATGCATTGGAATAAGTGATGAAATGTCATATGTGACGCTTAATAGCCAACTGGTATGTTCATGTCGACGATGGCGGAGAGGGCAACCATCTTGTCCAATGTGGTGTTAGTTACAGTTATTGCAGTTGGTTTTGTAAACGATATTCGGTTTATCTTCTTTGATTGTTGCATCCTTTGGTCTGCATAATGGAGTTTGGAGGGAATTTGTTGGTTTATGAGCCACACCAATTCCACTAAGTGGTCTCATTAATCTTGTCGTGATTTCTGATATATTAACCAATGAAGAAAATAATAAACAACAGAAAGGTCAGTAGTCAAGCAGAGGAACAGCCAACAAGAAAACCTATGCAGTCAATGACACCACAATCAAAGGAAACAACCAATCACAAACCAGTTGGTCAGAGCAAGCTACAAAATTACTCATGGAATGATATTGATAGCTCACAATTTAGTAGTGACGTTGTGTCTAGCAAGACGATAAGAGCTTCACGATTAAACAACTCAACTCAGAAAACACAATGCAACCAAGACCATCCACCTGAGCCACAAATATTCTTCACCGCCCTCGACTATGATAGACTTCTTCAGTAGACTACCGGACATGCATACTTACGATAATATCATTACCGTGCTGATGGAAAAGTTCATCCTTGCCATTAATTTCAGTGTATCATACTTACAGAGTCCTGGTAAGGCCATTGGTGTGAATAAAAAATGATAGGACTGAGATTGAAGAGACACACAAAGAAAATCTGTAAAAAGCTTTATTTTGTCCCATCTACTTGATGGTAGTCATAGAATGGAGAAGAAAAAACAAAGGGGTTTATCAAAGTGACTTACCGCTTTCAACCTAACCTTTCTCTCAAACTCACTTACCACATTTAACTGAGGCTATAAGAATTCAAACGAACAATTCAAAAGTAATTCGGACAGCCACTCTCCTTGCTTTGGTCAGAGAAGACGTAATGAATGACCTTACCGATAAATGATTTTAAAATGCTCTACTCCCCCCCCCCTTTTTATCTCACTTTTCTTACTCCCACCTTATTCGCATTCAAATTTCATTTATCTACAAACTTCAGTATTACGCAAATAAACTTTACTCTTACAAGACCTCGCCTACTTTATCTGTCTGGACACCTGATTACATTGTCATACTGTTCTGAACACTTGTATTATCACAAAAACTGCCATTTTTTATTATTCTAATGTGCATAATCCATAGTCGGATTACTTAGATATGTGACCACATTGCATGATTCGATCGGCAGATCTCGACAAGCGCTTAGAATACATATATTAACTGTGATAAATGTACTAGTTACCATTAGCTGACCGATTCATAAAGAATCCATGAATTTATGCTATTGTAGTCGATTTTGATTCAGATCACCAATTCCATAAACTATTAGTTTCTGGCAAACCAGTTATCTTCAGTCAAGCCATCAATGACCTTATCTATCTCAGTATAGGCACTTTTAATCTTTTTCTAGTTCACTTTTGTGCAAGGAGGCATCGAATTCCTAGATGACCTAGTATGTGCAATGATCGCCTGAACAATCTCAATCGACAGAGTTTTACAAGCTTCTTAACTGATGAATTTATCGCTTATGTCAAGCCTAGTTTCTAAAATCAGCTCACCGTTGTCTGTGCTCAGTTTTGAAGAAATACATCTGATGTTCAAATTCACGTTTACCTATGTGAATACAGGAAGCCAGTTAGCATCATAAGTCAGTACATAATGAAGATTATAATTCCTAGTCTAGTACTTAAAGTTGCGTAATTGTTCATTCAGACCTCTTACTACACGCGAACAATACATGCGATAGGACATATATAAATAAATCAACAATGAATCTGTTACAAAAGCGTACTGGTTCAAGTTGTCCCATATCACAACACTATGCACTAACAACAGAACTATGTAGGAAAAGGAGGATGTCAAAGCTTCAGATAATTAACTTTTAACATCTACAGGACCCCACCCATGTATCTTAAACCACAAACATTCAAAAAATTCATGAGTTGGCTGCACACCTTCTAGCTGTCCGTGACTTTGGCTCAGCTTGACCAAAGGTTCACAACACCATCGACTAACTTTCCTAGTACTCAATGCCTAACTTCAACACTGCGCACGTCGTGGTTCCGCCATGTGCAAACGGTGCTGCGAAGGAATCTGGCATCAGATACCTATAGCCTCCCCATGTACTCTAATTTCAATGACCAAGTTTCCCAACCATACAGTGGATTGTGGAGTAGTATATATCCGTAGTTCCGAAGGTAGTCTGATAGCTCACCTAAACTATCAGTGAGCAAATGCTAAGCGGGATATTCGTATCCGAGTCAAGATTTCACCAGCGTCCAATCCGTTTGGGTTGATGTAACTTTACAAGTAGATGAGGAGGTTAACACGTTCCACCACCTATCATTAATCCATGAGTTAGTGTAGACCATAGCTGAAGAATAGTAAAACATTTAATTAGTGCAAAATGCATGTCCAACATACTCAGACTATTTATCAAAACATTCAGATGACTGTTTTTTGTCACCATCCTCGTGCAGTCTGAGTACCCCAAGTCAATCAGGTATCATCCTAGGTGTAAGCTAGTCCTTGTGAAGTCAGAAGTACCTAACTATATGTTCACTACTATGTCCATAACAAAAATAAACGGGGACCGTGACATCAGGCATATCCCTGGCAGACACCATTGATTGTTGTCAATTCAGATGACAACTATCAATATCCTCCTACACCTTTGAATAGCATTTCATACCTCCTTGGTACTCGTCTCACAGTCAGATACCGCCGCAATACCTTATGGTCAGCAGACAAGAATATCACATTCAAGCCAAGAAATGAGCATGTGTTGGCTGCTGATAATTGTGCCTGTGTTCCAAAACCTATCGAAGGAAGAATTTAAGATCTATGCACCCTTGTCAAAGTCTGAAACCTCCCTGGTCATCGTACGTTTTTTGCTTTCCAGCTCAAGTTAGTTTTTGGATAACTATAGGCTCCAGGTTCCTAGGCACGGTATTAGTCAAACGAATCCCTCTGTGATTGTCACAGAAAGACGCCTCTCCTTTCTTATGAACTGAGAATGATCAGTAATCTATATCACACACACACACACACACACACACACACACACACACACACACACACACAAATTAATGCCTCAGTTACTCTTTTCAGTAACTTGCTACCTCTTTTTTTAAAAGTTTCTTCTGGTAAACCACCACATCCTACTGCTTTGGAGCGTTTCCCCTTCAATAGATACACCTCATAGGACTGATTTATGAAATGTTCCTACAAATAACACTGATCAATTCGCTTACTGTGGTCACCTTTTGTTCGTAGCATCTCATTACTTAAGATATAGTTATTCAATACAGCCTTCTCAAGGAGGAGGAATATTTGTGCATGCTAATTTAAATCATCACAACACAATAACAGATGGTATAAACCACATAATAAATGAGAAGAACAACAATAACACCTCTTAGTTTATATATTGATGATAGACAATTTTGTCAATTTATAATATGCCCATATGTCTTTCGTCTAGAACAAAAAAATTTCACATTATACATAGTATAATACCAGAAGTCAAGTCAATACACAAAAGATGGAGAGAATTAAACAACGAAATTATTCAATTGACTTTGTATGATTGATGAGTCCACCGCCAGTTAGGTCTGAACTTGTTTCAAGGAGACGTTCACCTATCAAGCAAAAAATTTGAATAAAATGAAGTGATGATGATTTGTAAACAATTTCCTAAGAGACAAAAAGTTCTTTGTACTTAAGACAATGTGAACTACACCTTGACAACTGTATTTGCCAACCTCAAATTCCATGTTGGTATTCATCATGAACTGACATCAGTTGGAGAAACATTGGAAATCAAAGAGCACCAGACAACCGTTTCATTCTAGTGCGGGACTCCTTAGAAGTGCGTACCCGTGCCCCCACCTGAAATCAACAAACAAATCCCCATAAACCTTCAAATTGATGACACACTTCAAGAGGTGATTACCGAAGCTCTGATGAGAAGTCATGATCGGTGAGCCCAACAAAGTCAGATATGAGGGCAGATACTCAACAACGTCATTGGGTGGAGGTCGCACGATAGCAGGAAATATGGACCATTGGACTTAGACCCAGTGGCTAAATGTCAACGTGTTGGCCACAGAACCTGAAGGTCATGGGTTCGACCCCCGGCTGGATGATGGGTGCGCATTGCTACGGAGTCCCGTACTAGGATGATGTCAGTCCATGATGAACACCGAACTGAAATCAATAAACAAATCTTTAAGAACCTACAAATTAAACGTCAAATTCATTGTGCTTTTTCGAAATCTAGTCACAAGGCGACCGATGCTATCTACAGCATATCATGCGGTTCAGTGTTATACTTTAATTTACAGTAATGAATGATTCACAAAAGTGAGATACCAATCAATTCTATCCAGTATAGTCATCAACAGGAAATTATAAATGACAAATGATACTCTGTTGCACAACAGTTGGCTCTCATGCCCTAGTGGATAACGCTCTGGAGTTTGAAGCTATGAGTGCTACGTTCGAGTCCAAACAGGAATATAGTCATTGACTGGGATATAAGAACATACAACTGACGAGTTTCAGATGGGACGAAATATACATTCTGAACTCCACCACTAGTCATTATCAAGCAGATAACATCAAAGTAAAAGTAGTTTTCATCTCTTCAAAATTAGTAACAAACTCACGAATCAACTCAGCGATAGCACGTTGTGTTCGACGCTCCAATTTGCGTAATTTCTTCTCAACACCCCTTTTTAAATCCCAATCAGGTTTACGGGGAGCAAGACTCATTAAATTCTGAAAGTATAAAAGGAAATTAGAATAAAGGCTTTTTGTATAAAAGATACTGTAAATCTCGACCACACACTGATTACACGACCTTTTCAGATATGTAATCAGTAAATAACACAATTAATACTGACTAATTAGGTGGTCATACATATTGTTATTTGTATCATCCCCTTGTTAACTGGATCAAACTGATTAATCTCAATTGGTACATGGGCTGCTGGTCCAGATGCCTCATCCTATTTTGGATTCGTCAACCGGATGTACCTCCCACCTCCCAGTGAGTGGTGTTGTTCCTATTGAGACTTGAGGCCGGAACCGATAGCTTTAAACGATACAGTGTGAGTGAGTTGTACATCCACATGACAAGTCCCGAATAGGACGAGACGTACGTCCTGGATTTCACTGCTAACTACTATCTATCATCATTAAGTAGTCACATATTTGTGTGTAGAATCAATATTTATTATCTTTTGTGACAGTAATTTAGACCTGCCAAGAGTACCACAATTTCTGAAGGAATATCATTCCTTGATCAACTTTACAACAGAGATGGAATCACGCTAAACGGTACTAGCCCGTAACGTATTATTAATAAGAAAAGATTATACGAAACATAACAGATTCATTTATCGAAAATCTACGTGAAAAATGGACAAGTAACAAGGTTTCACAGCTGGGTTCCCATCAAGCAGGAAAAGAAGGAACATACACCAAAACGTTCTAACATGGCACAGTAAAGGTTAGTGCAGATCGATCATATAACAACAATTAGTTGGTAATACATAAACAGTTCCAGATTCACTGACAAATATTAACAATTTTACCAAGAAAATGTGCACGCTAATTAACTACATTGTTTGATCACTGGAGGGGTAGCCAAGTTTATGCTATCGACTCCTAAGTGTTGATCGAATTATATCGGTCATCTTACAATGTGACCATCAGGCTAGGAGATTCACTATTGCAGTGCACTGAGATTGATGTTAGTTGGCTGGAGGCAATAGGCAGAAAGCATGAAAGATAAGTCCAGGGCTATTCTGGCTCAGTGGTAACGTCTCTGACTGCAGCACTGGGTGATGCAAGTTCGAGTATAAGGCAGGACATTGGTTCCGTCGCGGTCGCAGATACGCCTAGTTGACGACTGTCTCCATTCAACTAACACACTAATTAATTGATTCTGGCTTGGAAGTCATTACGAACTGACATTAGTTGGAGAACCACTGGAAACCTGGGAGCACTGGACAGCTGTTTCGTCTCACTAGTATGGGACTCCGCAGTAGTGAGCAATCATCACACCATACAACCACAAACCGAACCCAGGACCTTCAGGTTCTGTGGCCACTGGGTCGGAATCCAATGGTCCATATTTCCTACTTCTGTCAGTTCACGATATAGGGTGACCTACATCCAATCCTGTCGTTGAGTAACTGTCCTCATGTTCGACTTGGTTACCCCCCACCGGTCACTTCTCATTGGAAATCCGGGAATCACCTCTCGGAGGTGGTCACCAATGAGGAGTGGGTTTATTCAGTTCTGAAGTGTGTGGGGATTTATTGATTTCCTGGCGAAGTCGTGGGTGTCCACTGCTGAGGAGTTCGACGCTAGGATGAAACAGTCGTCCAGTGCCCCCAGGTTTCCAATTTTTCTCCAAATGATGTTAACCCATGATGAATTCCAACCTAAAATCAACTAATAAATCTCCACAAACCTCCAGTGCTCATTGGTGACCAGCTTCGAGAGGTGATTCCCGAAGTTCCAATGAAAAGTCGTGACCAGTGGAGTCAACCAAGTCGAACATGAGGACAGTTACTCAATGACGACATTGGATGTAGGTTGCGCTATGTCCTGAACTGACAGGAGTAGGAAACATGGACCACTGGATTCCGATCCAGTGGCTCAATGGTAACGTGCTGGTCACGGAACCTGGAGGTCCTGGGTTAGATCACTGGTGGGGCGGGGTTGTGGATGTGCACTGCTGAGAAGTTCGACGTTAGGATGATACAGTTGTCCAGTGCTCCCATGTTTCCAGTTTTCCTCCAAATGTTACTCTATGATGAATTCTAACCTAAAATCAACTAATAAATCTCCCCAAACCCCTAGATACGCTAATTCATTATTTAAATGCGATTATACAGCTGCTGAGAACGATACCATCGATAATATGTTTATTCGCTGAACGAAACGAACGAAAAGACAAAACGCATATCCGTACAGTACACAATGAGCCTCACCTACTGTGTAAGAGCTAGTGATACTGTCCTGCTGCCCAAACCCAACCCCCACCCCCTTGGTGGAGCAGGGCTCGAACCCGTGACCCAATTAGTGGATAGTTATCTCCCAAAACCACTAAACCACAGTTTCAATGCGCTGAAGTCTCTCTTCTCCGATAACTATTAAATAAAGGACATTTAAGTCTTTCATAAATTGATCATCGCATTCATCACTCTATTTCGTGTTAAAATAAATAGTGACTACAGTTCACCGATTCAAGTGTTTCTCAGCTTTATTCCCACAACAACAAAAAAGTTAACAGTCAATGATGTATACATAAACGATTCACATACTTATTTATGACTGGCAACCAATAATCGATTGCTTAATCACAAAACAACCTTAGTATTAATAATTCACTAGCCCAACAACCAATATCTCTGTTCTATATCCACCTTCCTAAAATATTTTATCAACTGATTAATTGATCCGACATACTAGACATTAATAACATGGATGGAACAATCACACACACACACACACACACACACACACACACACACACACACGCCAGGATATGTAGTTTCCATGCTATTGAAATCAGCTTTAAACACTATCATCCAAAAGAAATTTGAACATGATTTTCATACGGAACCAAAGAGTTAATATCACAATTTATGTGATATCTGGGATGTATCGCATGATGTGAAGAAATACACCACTGAAGAGAATGATTAGTCAAACCTATCTACTAGATTATTCCTATTTCAAGTTGGTATTCATCAAGGATTGACATCAACTGGAGAATTATTGGGAACCATGGGAGAATTGGACAGCAGTTTCGCTCAACTGAGCGACTCCTCAGCAGTGCATGTCCATGAATGACTCCACCAGGGATTGTACCCAGGATTTTCAGGTTCTGCGACCAGCACGTTACCACTGAGCTACTGGGTTTGGCCAAAATTTCCTACTTCTATCAGCTACCCGGCCGATAGGTGCTAACCTTGACGTGGTGGTCGAGCTAGCATACCACAACGACCCAACGAGCTATGCTGGTGGAACGCTAGTTCCTTCATGGTCCTACCATGCCAGAAACATCTGTTGGATAGTGGTAAGACGAAAAGCAGTTACCGTTAAATAACCCCACACTATTATATGAGTCTGAGGGTGAAGTTGTACTGCTGCTAGCTGGATGGGGTGTGACAGCAGTAAGGTGTCCCCCTTGCATGACCAGTAGTGTCACGCTGAAGCTGTTTTCTCTGTGGGAAGGGGAGTTAGAAAGGATGGGCTCTAAAACAAGTACCATGACCCCTACCCCACAGTCTTCCGGAGCTGGTGGCATCGCCTTTCTCTGTCTGGCGTTAGAACGACCAAACCTCAAAAACGCATCCCTCAAAAGACTGAGTGTGATAGGCCTCAAGTAGATGTCCCATCGGCTCTGCCATTACATACTATGGCTTTTTTCTAGGTACCTCAAGATAAATTAGACTTCCACGGTGTTGGCAGTCAAAAATTGTCAACCTCCCACGTGCTTCCGGTAGGACACAAGAACCAATCAAACATTACCTATCCTCCTCAACTATGTCTCCTCCTTTGCCTTCACCTACCGATACTAATATAAGACTTCTAACACCTCTCCCAACCTCTCACTCTGCAACCATTGTCAATGATCAAAACCACTGAAACCTCATTCCTAGTCTTATGAGAACCCGCCTGCCACTGATTTCATATGAGAGCTTTTTATGTCTAAACTCTCTTCCAAACCGGACAGTAAGCATCACTCACCAAAACTCTGGGATCTCTAACCATAGATAGTTGCTATCTCAGAGACACGTATATAGGAACTGAGTGTGGTTGTTAAATTGACCTCATCTGCCTATAGTAGTGTCTTTAAATTCACTCGAAGAGTATCCGAAGATCCAGTGGCTAGCTCTCGTGGACTCACACGTGTGGGTATGACATTGGATTGTAGAGCAGAAAGTGCGCTCCTCGACTGGACTCCAGTAAACAGCCGTCCATGTACTGTTCGACTGAATGGATCTGTAAGGACTAAAGAAGGGTCATGAGACTAGGAGATGCCGATTTGTAATCTGTGTCTACTCATTCACCAACTGTAGTTCGGATGATTCAAAGGATAATTTTTATGAGAAGCTGTCGACTTTGCTGCAGAAAGCAAAACGTTCATATGTAGTCATAATGGCAGGTGATTTAAACATCAAAGTAAGGAAGCTGAGCCAATCTGAAAGGCATATTGAAGGTAACTACGGAATCCCCTCCCAACGAACTGATAACGGTGATCGTCTGTTGCAATTTGTTCCAACTATCACTTGCTTATGAGCAGCACTAACTTTAGGCATAAGAAACAGTGTGTCACATGGCGTCCGCCGACATCGAACCAACGATGGACACAGATATACAATAGTGTTATAAGCCATCCTTTGAGAGGATCGGATGAGGACTGCTGCTCTTTTTGGAGTACCAGTTTCGACTCAGATCAAGCGCTGGTACGGGCTCGTATGGGTCTGCACTTTACTGGTCGATTGGAAGACGAAAACGTCAAGTCTCCATTTAGGGAAGAGTTAGCTAGAGTATTTATCTGAACATGACAGCAATACTCATTCTTAAGAAACCTGCCACGACATTAGGTCTGCGGTAGAAACAGCCGTAAAGACAATCATTAACTTACACCTGAAGGTTTAAAAAATGTCATTGGATTTCCACAACTTCATCCCAACTAATTGATGCGAGGAGACTGGTCCCAGTTGGCTCCAACCATGTTGAAGAGCGAAAGCAACTTAAACATAAATTAACCAAGAGTCTTCGTAATGATCACGAGCAGTTGTGGGTAGCGAAAGCAAGAGAGATGGAGAAAGCATCAGCGTCGGGTAACACTTGACAACTATTTAGGCTTATTAAGGATACCAGCAAGAAGAAGACGGTGGTTAGTTACACCATCACCGAAAAGGATACGATGCTTGTAAACTCCCAGAAAAGGCGGCTAGTACGTTGGGAGGTACACTTTGAAGCACGGTCCCACTAGCCCAGACCAACACTTCAGTTGACCAACATCTAGCCCAAACTTGCATAGGACGTAGATTTCGGTTCACCAACTCTATGAGAAGTTGAGAAGGCTGTGTCGAACCTGAAACGATGGATCTGACAGTTTGCCACCTGAGGTTTTCAAGAATGGAGGTAGGAAACTGCTGATCTGATTGACGGAGGTACTAGATAGTGTATGGAATCAGAGGGAGTGGCGACAGATTCGTTTACTTCATTGATCATCCCAGTTTATAAGAAGGTCGAGGGTGCACCGATCATATTTTCACCTCCCAACAGGTTCCGGGACACAGACATACCTGCCATCGGCCTGAAAGTGGCATTTGACTCTGTCCACCATGAGGTGTTGTGGTAGTGTCTGTACTGCGAGTACTGACCAAGTACATAACTCCAATCGAAGCTCTCTACTCCAACTCACGCAGACGCGTATGGGCTAATCGAGACTTTTAACATGAATTCACAACTACTGATCTCCGCCAGAGATGTTCACTATCACCCGTTCCTATTCAACTTCGTCAAAGACGTACTAACTGACATAACCTTAGGTGCCTGTCACATCAAAAGGATTGATCTACTCTCTTGAGGTCGTCTAGTTCACTTCCAGTATACACATGATATTGTACTGGTAGGTGAAGACATTGACAAAGTGCACGATCTTCTGAACATCATAAGCAGAAGTCTGAGTGTGTTTGGCATGCGTTTTAGTGGCATCTGTCAAATGTAACATGATGCTCCATAACTGGTCTTCTGCAACTACTCTCAGTCTACAGATAGGGAGTGATGTAGAGGAATGTGTCAATCACTTTACTTAGGGAGTTGCATCAGCCCAAAGGGGGTTATTGTTGTCAAAATTTCAGCTCGAATCATCCATCCAAATCAACATAGGACCAGGCATTACTGCATAGTGATCCTAGTTGCCATATTGAGTGCTGATAGAGTTGTAAGGGCGGTTGACACTTCCCGGATGCCCACACCGTGGAATGCTATTTCTTCTTAAGGTTCCTGAAAGAGATTTGTATGACCGCAGAGCCCATCGGACATCTGCTTGAGGCCTGTCACACCCAGCCCTCTGTATATGGTTGTTTTGAGCTTTTGTTTTTTGGGGCCGGATGGTCGAAGAAGAAACGACAAGTGAACCAACACCGCCGACCCGGCAGACCGTGGGGTATGGTGGAGTGTGTTATTTTTGGAGCCGACCTTTTCTAATCCCCCAACCTATCCACTGAGAAGGCAGCATCAGCATGGCACTGCTGGCCATTCAAGGGAAACACCTTACTGCTGTCATACCCCATCCAGCTAGCAGCAGTACGATTTCGCCCGCAGACCCCCATTATAGTGTAGTAATTTACACCACAACGGTAACTGCCTTTCGTCTAACCACTATACAACAGACCATTCTGGTATGGTAGGACCTCTAGGGAACAAGTGTTCCATAAGCATAACCCTATGGGTCATTGTGATATTCAAGCCCGACCACCACGTCAAGGTAGCAGCTGTTGGTCGGATACTGAAGGGCTGTTCGAAACTAGCCATTTTGCATCATCTGGGACGCCGATTGGCTAGACATCCAACTATCTATCAAAAGACGAATATGTCGTCCTGCAGTTCGTTCTGTACTGTTATACGACGGTGAAACATGGCCATTAAGAGTAGAAGACACGAAGCAGCTACTGTTTTTCAATCGTAGTTGTCCTCTTAGCATTGTTTGCGTTTGGTAGAATCACTGTTTGAGCAGTGTTGAAGTCAGAAGGAAGGCAAGTCGATTGGTAATGTTGTAGGCTGGGGTGCCTTAGACATATCATGTGTATGCTAGGTGAAATTGGATTAGGTGGAAAAAGGGTTCAGGATGTCCAGGAAAAGACGTGAGACCAGTTCATGAAGATTCTTACTGTTGGTCTGTGTCGTATGGAGAGATGTAGACCGCCTGGCTAGAGTCCCCGAGACAATCGGAATAAGTGGCTGAGGACTTTTGTAGAAATGGCCGAAAATCATTCACAATGATGCAGATGTAGTCACTCCTTGATGTCTTCTAAAGCTTGAATATATCCACTAACTGTTATCTTCAGACTGTTTATTCTGTTACACAACTTCGTCTACTTTGATACCAATCTTTTTCCATCCACTTGTATGAGAGGCTCTAGGTTGATTTTGTCGGTCTGACATCTACTAATTCATTATATAGTGCGACCCCTATCCAACTTAAAGCCATAGGCTAAATTTATTCGAATTTCGATGGGTCTGTGGGGATTTAGAGATATTTCAAGTTGGTATTCGTCGTAGACTGACATCGGTTGGAGGAACAATAGAAACCTGGGAGCACTGGTCAGCTGTTTCGTTCCAGTAGCACGGGGCTGCTCAGCAGTACGCACCCATGACCCCATCCCTACCAAGTATCGAACCGAGAACCTTTAGGTTCCGTGGTCAGCACGTTAATATTGAGCCACTGGGTCGGAATCCAATGGTCCATGTTTCCTACTTCTGTCAATTGACTATATAGCGTAACCGCCCCCCAATGTCATCGTTGAGTATTTGTCCTCAGGGCCACCAGGTTTACCCAGTCGATCAATACTTCTCATTGGAAATTCGGGAATCGCCTCTCGACGCTACACACCAATGAGCACTAGTTTGATTGAATTTGGGGGGTGCGCACTGCTGAGGAGTCCCATACTAGTGAGACGAAACAGCTGACGTGCTCCCAGGTTTCCAACTGATATCAGTCTACGATGAATGTCAACTTGAAATAAATTTATTCGGATACCTTAGGTATTAACTGAATCTGCAGTGAATACAACAGTCATCCAATGTTCAGATCACTCTAATCTACCGAAGAAAAAGTGTATATCTAAGTGATTCGTTTCCAAATACTTAATACTATACTTGCAATTGAATATACATAGACGTGTTTATAATTAAGCTATCAAGATTTCAGGTGCCAAAATAAACAAATCATCAACTAAACCACTAAGTGAACTTTTACAGTCACCTGGTTGGTTAGATTTATTGATTATAATGTGAACAATAGTTAACAATGATAACGATTGAATGTTGTTAACCTTTATACAAGCTTTATATGCTTATAACAATATTGAACAGAATAACGACGAAAATAAAATGAACAACAACTTACAACTTCATCGACTATAACTGGAGCATCAGCAGCTTCAAGTTGTGAAATAATGTGCTTATTCACTGTAAGAGAAAAAGAAATAAAAAGCTAAACATCAATGGTGATATAAACCAATCGTTTTCTCCTATGTTGATAACAAAGTTAAACTTTTACAAGAGAAAAACTTCTACTTTCTTTTTGTCTATCAATATTCATACGATTATGTGGGTGAATAAAAAAAAATCCCCCACTAGTGAATACCACCAAAATAGTTTACCATATTCAAGAGGCAGTTCGTTAGAAATTAATCTAATGGTAACCAGAATGCATAAATTAAGAGCATAATTATTTCGCTTGAGAGTCGAATAAAATGTAAGATATAAACAAGAACCTGAAGCAACAATGTGAAATTACCACAGACTTTAAATTAGTACTCATCAATTAACTGCAAATGTGTACAGGTTTTTCAATTGACAATCAACACAACCTGCAAAAATTTCGCTTTCCTATCAAAATTCAAATAGAATTTTCAGCAGTAGTAGTCAGAAAATAAGCTGAATTTAGCGGCATTTCATAGGTTTAACGAAGTCTGGTCAGCAGACATTATTATTATTATTATTATTATTATTATTATTATTATTTGTCCCTTCGATTCCGGGTGGAACATAGGGCTTCAGTAGCACGTAGCCATTTCACTCTCTTCTCTACAATCTTTTCAACCTGGCTACATGACTGCCCACAAGCTGCCGTTTCTTCCTCACACCATCTCCTCCATGTCACCCTCAGCTGGGACGCTCAACTCGTTGTTTCCCATTTCGCTTCCACTCGATGACCTAGTCTGTCGCGTGATGTCTCAAAACCGTCCTCTCTGTGTATGTTCAATCTCCACTTTCTTCTGCATGTTTGTTGGGCGATAGGTTCTTGGTTGGTTGATTAATATAGGTGTAAAACTTGAGCACTGTGGTAGAATTTAATTCCATATTAGATTTGTTTATTTCATTTATAACACACAGTGATCTAGTATTATTTACTTGATGACATTTCGAGCATAAATTATTGATTATGAGCAATAATTTATGCTCGAAACGTCATCGGGTAAATAATACTAGATCACTGTGTTATAAATCTTCGTTGGTTCGTTTGCAGGGCCAGTCAGAGTTCCTTATGACTTATTCTTATTATTCTGGCCAACCGATCTCATCTGATCTTCAGTATCGAGTGAGCGAGCGTAGGCGGCAGCTGTTGATGTGATATACGTCTGTAGTTTGTCGGAAATGCTTTTCATAACGCACCAAGTCTCTCAACCATCACATGGAAGCACTGACTTGACATAAGTGTTGAAACATTGTGCCCATTTCAAAAGTTTTTAACAAAGAAAAACACAGTAAACTCTAGTGACATGTCATTAAGCTTGGTGTTTCAATTGTATTCATGAATGGGTGATGAACTTCATTCCGTCCTAAGAACTACAACATTACATCAGCTTAATATCTAGCGACCGATTTATTCATGTTTTACCTGAATATTATATACATAAAAATGAATGAATAAACTTACAATCAACTGGTTTACCAGCCGGAAGTTCACCATCTTTCAATTCTTCTGATTGTGGTTTATAATTACGAAATATCGGTTTAGGTAATTCACCATCATCGTTTTGTAAGTGTATAATGCTTTTCTGTGATGCATTCTTCATACGTAACTGTTTCAAGCGTTCTTTACGTCGCAAAGCTTCATCACGCATATGACCAATTACCTGGTCTGTTTTATCATCATTATCATTGTTGGTATTAGTATTAGTTGTAGTACTAATCTGATTGGAAGAGGTTTGTTCATAATTCCCATCCTCTTCTTCTTGATCCATAATATCCGATGTAGTCATTTATCTAAATGAAAGAAGTGAATTGATTCAGAAAACAGATTAACTAGACATTGACATCGAAGTAGGATCTGGAATTACTGCATGAAAGTGTCCAAACTGACATAAAATAAAAAAGGATTAAACATGTCACCCTCTTCTTCTCACCGTACCTTACATCCCCTCCACCGAGAACAGCAATGCTCCTGATAAGGCATATAGAACCAACTAATAAACTAGTAAACGAACAACTTAGCACTGATTCAACTGCACATCATTGTGATATGATGAAAGGTTATTATTGTCAAATGCTTGTTTTACCTTTAGATACAATTTCTTCTAGTTATAACCTTAAAACAGAGAATATCTTAAACTGGCTAAATGACTAGACATGTGACATAAGTACATGCAATGTTCTAATGAGATAAAAATGATAGACAAGTGTACCCGATATTATTGTACATCAATCCAAGACAGTACACCACTTCGGAGACAGACATGGAAACAAACGCAAGACTAGTGTCGCAGTGAGATCAACAAAAAAAGAAGACTAAGAACTGAGAATAACACCAATAATTAAATAAAGATAAGGCGTAGACACACCAATATATTATCCTTTGTAACCTCCAACTATCGATTTCAGTTATGTCGTATACTTTAAATGAGAAACTCTTGCTTTTCTACGACGTTCAAACCAGTAGTAACAGACTATACTGATTGGTGCCTGTTAGCTTTTTTACAACCTAACAGCACATTGGTCTAAGGAGGTGATTTTCAACCAACAGGTCATAGGTTAGAACACTGCTCCATTTATCAAGGTTTGGTCAGCCAAGTAGTATCATAAGCCCTAGCATAATAGGTGTGACTCATCGCCTACTGCACGAATATTCGCAAGGTTGGGCAGTGCATTTCAATTCGATTCGAAACCCGTGAAAACTGAGCATCAACAGCAGACGATATCTCATCATACATAATATATTCTAAAACCACCTCAACTGATCAAAGTTCATAACCATGTCAACTGATTAGCTTCATTTATAAGATAATTAAAGACTAATCTCCGCATTATTCACAAATGAACCTAACCACCTCAATAATAATTAAAGTAAACTTGATAAGTCTACCTGAATCAATCTGTTAAACCACTTACTATATATATTCAGCACCGTAGTAGAATGCAATTCCATTTAATTTGACTGGTTTGATCACGCTTCAGAGATGATTTATTCTCCAAAATCATATCAACACTTATGTCAAGTCAGTGCTTCCATGTGACGGTTGAGAGACTTGGCGCGTTATGAAAAGTATTTCCAACAAACCACAGACATACATCACATCAACAGCTGCCGCCAACACTAGCTCACTCGATACTGACACTGAAGATCAGATCAGATGAGTTGGCCAGAACTCTGACTGGCCCTGCAAACGAACCAACCAACAACCTGTCACCCAACAAACATGCAGAAGAAAGTGGAGATTGGACATACACAGAGAGGACGGTTTTGAGACATCACGCGACAGACTAGGTCATCGAGTGGAAGCGAAATGGGAAACAACGAGTTGAGCGTCCCAGCTGAGGGTGACATGGAGGAGATGGTGTGAGGAAGAAACGGCAGCTTGTGGGCAGTCATGTAGCCAGGTTGAAAAGACTGTAGAGAAGAGAGTGAAATGGCTACGTGCTACTGAAGCCCTATGTTCCACCCGGAATCGAAGGGACAAATAATAATAATAAAATCATATCAACATAAATACACAACTATGAGATATCTGTTATATGGTCCTAACTTCCACACCTCCTTTGTGATATGAGTAATAAGATTTTCCAAATCTCTAAAACAAGTGCTCAGTCATTCCTGTTGCGTGTATTCAGTGTCGATTCGACCAACAAGGATTCAGTTATCAATCTCTGCCTCCACCATGCTATGTTAGTTTTAAGGATTTTCACCCTGACCTATCCTATTGTGTGGTTGTGTGTAACTGCATGCATAGATATGATCGAGCCTTTTTTCTGAATTCTTTAGCTAACTAGGACGTACCAATTTCGACCTAGCTGGGTTTTGTGCTCGGAGAGCCAGCCTAATTGACCCTGGTCGACTACTTTGTCCTACGTATTTGACCTCGCTATCATTGCAAAGGATTTGATAAGTTAAATTATCGTACCTAATTGGATCAATGAGATGTTCTAATCTGTAAAGCTTATTTTTTTCCGTTGCTTTATTGGATCGAATTGTTCGACCTCCATATGCCAGCAGAGGTGCTAGCCACAACCAACTATATTGCTATGATACTTGTAATTTCCCGTAGCTATATAGGACCGAATCACTCGACCTCAGTCTTAGTCAGATGTGCTCCTATGCGGATGCCTCGTTACTGTCGGACATTCATGATGTCATATTCATGTTGGTGACTAGCAGAGGAATTCAGGGTGCGCGTTCCGTCCTATTTGTATCTTGTCAGCCGGGTACACCTGCACCTCATTGGGTGATGCTATTCCCGCTGAGGTTCAGGTGGATCTTGCTGAAGAGTCAGAAAAAAGGCTCGATCATATCTATGCATGCAGTTACACACAACCACACAATAGGATAGGTCAGGGTGAAAATCCTTAAAACTAACATAGCATGGTGGAGGCAGAGATTGATAACTGAATCCTTGTTGGTCGAATCGACACTGAATACACGCAACAGGAATGACTGAGCACTTGTTTTAGAGATTTGGAAAATCTTATTACTCATATCACAAAGGAGGTGTGGAAATTAGGACCATATAACAGATATCTCATAGTTGTGTATTTATGTTGATATGATTTTATTATTATTATTTGTCCCTTCGATTCCGGGTGGAACATAGGGCTTCAGTAGCACGTAGCCATTTCACTCTCTTCTCTACAGTCTTTTCAACCTGGCTACATGACTGCCCACAAGCTGCCGTTTCTTCCTCACACCATCTCCTCCATGTCACCCTCAGCTGGGACGCTCAACTCGTTGTTTCCCATTTCGCTTCCACTCGATGACCTAGTCTGTCGCGTGATGTCTCAAAACCGTCCTCTCTGTGTATGTCCAATCTCCACTTTCTTCTGCATGTTTGTTGGGTGACAGGTTGTTGGTTGGTTCGTTTGCAGGGCCAGTCAGAGTTCTGGCCAACTCATCTGATCTGATCTTCAGTGTCAGTATCGAGTGAGCTAGTGTTGGCGGCAGCTGTTGATGTGATGTATGTCTGTGGTTTGTTGGAAATACTTTTCATAACGTGCCAAGTACTAAACAAAGAATGTTTCAAAGTTGTGTACTTATCTTGGTATGACTGGGCATAATGAATTATATACAAAACGTAATCCAGTAAACAATACTTTAAGTTTACAGAAATGTCTAGCATAATTTTAATTATGAAGTTGCTTCCAAAGTGATATTTCCATGGTAAACATAGATATTATTGACAACAGAATAGTATGCCTTGGCATGCTTAATCATAAACATTTTTTAGTTGAAGCATTCAATCTCGTTTTACTATTACTACTATTTTTCAAGTTATAATAATGATTTCTTATGGACAAAGGCTTTGTTTACATGTCTTGAATGGCAAACTATTGATTCTGACATCACAACTTTTAAGCTTTAAATACAGATGAACGCCTTAAACATATACAGTAGTAGTTTCAATCGCAAGGTATCTACGTCTAATAATTTCCTAAATTTACAATAGACTAATACTGAAAGTGAAGTTTTCGTGTAAACAGAATACCATGGAGATAGATAAATAGATAGATGTGCCTAATTATATTAAGCACTTGGTTTTCGAATAAAGGACCTTGGATTCAAACTCCGCTCTACTTGCTTAGACTTGGGTAATTAGGTAGTATCCTAAGCCCTCATAATACATGTGGTTGGCATAACCTGTATCACGTTTTACAATAATCCTAAATATATAGAATCTAATTTTTAATGTTGGGACGATACATGTACATATACTGCACAGCAATGTTCTGTTCCGATAGAAAATGCAGGTTAATAACGAGGTATAGGTCTGTGCACAAGATGGCTACAAGATACAGAGTCTGTGAAGTCTAACCATACCATCGAACTCGGAACTGAGTCTTAACTTGTAATCCACAGGTTACAAATCAACAGACTATGCCAATAACTGACAAAACCAACGTAGAATGTCGCACACAAGTGCAGCACCTCAAGTTGCCACACACTTCACAGTAGTATACAAAGAACAGGTGGATAAGAAAAGGGTGAAATCAAACTAGACAAAGTTGTGTGAGAGAATAAACAATCTGAAGATGATGGATAGTGTGGATATTCAAGTTTTAGATGTCAAAGAGTGAATAAATCCGAACCATTATGACCATGTCACCAAGAGCCAGTCCTCAACAGCTGATTCCTTTCGTTTCAGGGACCCCAACCGGGCAGTCTACATCTCCACACATGGCTCAGACAAGCACTAAGAGACTTCATCGACTGGTACCACGTCTTGATCTAGCCACCCTGAACACTTCTTCAACCTAAAACAACCTCCCCTAGCATGGTACGTTGAGGCAAGCGGTGGCTCAGCAAGCCCTATAGCTTCAGAGTGATAGAAAATATGTAACCAGTGCTCCATTTTCGAACCCATACCGGTTCATAGTGAAAACTGTTTCTTTTCCACTAAGACAGTTTACATTGAAAATGGATAAGTTCAGTTGAAAAACCAGTGAATCAAATTGTTTCTTCTTCACTCAGAAATTCTGAGATCAGCTGTTACAGTTGTTAAGCAGTCTAACACTGTTGTGATTGCATAGCACAACAGCGCTTGTTTATTGCTTGATGCAGTGAAGTTTCGAATCCTTACAGGTAAGAGTGAATGACTACTGATAACACCGAAGAACAACATTCATTCGGCATCAACGATTAACAGGAATCATAAAACGAAAACCCTAGAGTTCAAGCTGTTGAACAGCCTTCTAAGTAGGGTGACAAAGGGCACATGCCTGCAGAGATTAGTCCGCCTCAAGTGTCACAAACCCAATATCTCAAGTATATACACGTCAGCACCCTTAGAAAGAGCCAATTTTAAGGGAAATTAAACAGATAAATTTTAAAAATCTGCAATCATCACATTCACCACATCAACAACAAAATGTCCGACGAAACCACTGCTTGTTCATAACATAGACAAAAAAATAAGGGAAAAAACAAACATTTTGAGTGATTTCTTTTCTATTCATCAAATTTTAACAAATAACAATGCAGATACAATGAGAATACTTTTCTTTCAACAGAAATAAATGAGTAAATACACTTTTAGGTGTAAAGGTAAACAAGTTACACATACACACAGGAACAGACAGACATAAAACATTCATTTCTCACACGACAGCATTCTCCTGGAAACATTAAGAAACGAAACTGCGAAACTACAGCAAACAATTGAAACGCTTATTCAAAAACAAAGACTGAATTAATACCACTGCAAGAGACAGAATACCAGGATTATTATTATTGCTATTCATGACAAATATGCTACTGACATTAGTATTTAAGTAGCATATACATATATGTGCATGCATTGTAAAGAATATATGTGGGCAATAATAGATCCCAATGTCAAATAAGTGTAACAACTGTAGACGTGAAAGAAAATCACACAGAAGCGCATAAAAAGCTCACCGGGATTTCAGAATTTATCATAACCAATTTTCTTTGTGTGTTTGAGATATAATTTTTTTTTCTAATGAACAAATGGTGAGTAAAGAAAAACCACCATTGACCAACCCACACCTTTTCTAATGATCAGTAATACGATGCAGCGTATATTTATACATCAAGCCGAATGAATATTGAGCATCACATTATTGTTTTATCACAATCACACAGCTTCAAGGTCATGATCGTTTAAAAACGTAGGCGTACAAATGATAGAATTTAAACACATACATACAGAAACACACTTCACCGTGTGACAGGCAGGAAAAAAAGGGGGGTTGAAAGGTAAGCAAGTGTATCAATTACTGTCACAGACGAATTAAGCTTTTTAATCACTGAAGAGGATATCATAACCTTTAGAGGAAAACACAAAGCAAAATAGATCGTCAACCATAAAAAAAGGATGAAAACAGAAACGAAATCATAACTGCACTTAACATATCTAAGATAAATCTGTCAATAAGTATTCAATATATACACATTCACAGATAGGAAGAATATACACCAGAAAATACACATGTAGTAAAGATGGTTCTAAGAAAAAAAGGCCGTAATAAACTGTCACCCTATATATATATATATATATATATATATATATATATATATATATATATATATATATATATATATATATATATATATATATATATATATATATATACGGACCATATTTACTTATCTCACATCTATAAGTACTACTGATTTAGCACATGAGTAATCAGTGCGAATTAGAAGTAGTAGGAGATAATAATAACTTTTGATATTCCGTCGGTTCCTCCTGCCGAATATCTTGTCGTTGTTGTAATTCTCTGCTTTGTGGATGACAGCATTGATTTTCAATGGCTGTAAAGTTTACTTCATCATTCCTGTGTTTCATCCATACATCTGTCTTGCCTGTTGAATCGTTTAAATAGACTCTTGAATTTGTTTTCGTATATACTCCAGTCAAACCTGCAGGTTTATTGCCAGTATTGAGTGAATTGGGCAAACAAATTGTTGGCGGACATGCAGTAGTGCTCATAGTAGCAGGTGTAGTTGAAACACCAGGACAATTGGGATTACTATTTATTGAAGAGCAATTCAACAATTGTGTATCATATGCATTCCTTACATTTTTAGAAGTATGTATAAATGTTGAACATGAAGACAAGTCTGTCTGTTGGTTAGCATCACTGGGTGTGGAAACTAAGCCATTCTTGATATCATCCATACCACTGCTAGGAATATCACCATTATGGTGGTAATGACGATCATGATGATGATGATTACTGTTGACAGTTTTATCACTAAGCTGTTGAGTTAGTATAGACTGACGAAGTAATCCAGTAAGACGTTTAGTTACACAACCAGCTGAAAGACGTGCTTCTGCATCTTGATCCCAACATTCTTCAACAGTCTCCCATAATGTGCATAAACCCTATACAATTGGAAAAAGAAGTAAATAAACACATACTGGGTGATGGTTGAAGGTGAAATGAAAATCCAGACCACGGCCGGGCTCGAACCAGCGATCGCTGGGTCCCTAGACCGATACTCTACCAATATATATATATATATATATATATATATATATATATATAAACATCAAATACGTTTTTTACTGTCAGAAACAAGTTGACAAGATGGAACTAAGGTTTTTCATGTTGTGCGCACAGTCTCAAGTCTCACAGGTTAAATATTAGGATAAAAAAAAGCAGAGATAATTTAACATTGACATTTACACATTCACAGGGATACCTCAATGCCTCGACTCTGACATACACAAGTGCATCATTTCGAATTGTCAACACTTAACAACACCATACAAACAAGAAGTCTAAGTAGAAAAAGAATGACATCTAGATCGATTAAAACGTATAAGAGGAGAGATGATAGGTAAATGAAGATGTTCAAAATTTCGAAGGGTGTATATATAATGTGCGCCATTAAACCATAATCACGAAATATTTCTAACCATAAACTCTTAACTATTTATTGATATGCTTGTTATTCTCCGTTATTTTTATTGGGTCGAATTGCTCGACCTCTATTGGCATATGGGTCCCTAAGCGGATGCCTCGATATTGCCTGAATGTTAATTATGGTAATTTGGTTTTTTGTACAAGAACTGGCTATCGTTCCTCCGTGGCAGGCATAATGTATAACGCCTTGGTGTTTGAAGCGATGAGTACGAGGTTCGAGTCTCAGTGGGAACAACATCACTCATAGGGGTGCAGGTACATCCAGCTGACAAGTCCCGAATAGGATGAGTCGCGCGTCCTGGATTCCTCTGCTAGCCACAACCAACCAAATTACCATAAACTCTTAACACCTAAAATTTGGTAAATATGATATACATTACAGATTAATGCTAACCGACTTACTCTATTTTTGCAGTTTATGTTAGTTAATCTAACAAACGAACAATCTTCAGTCACGGTTAGTAAAAACAAAGTGAATTATGAGTTAGATAAGTAGATATTTATGGGTCCATTCACTCCTACCTACTACAGTCTGTGAAATCAACTAGCATCGTGTAAAGGTTGCAAGCACTAAGGACAACTTAAGTGGACCTATGGTATTCAACTTTCATTTCGTTATCTTCCGAAATGAATCAACCAACCTACTGCCATTTTCTCATGCTCAAATATTAATCGCTTTGAAATAAATCAGTTACCTGTGATATTATAAACATGAAAATGAAGTACCGAAAGTTAATAAATGTATTTGTAACATTGTTCCTATATGGTAGAATCACCATGTGAGCAATGTCGAGGTTAGCCAGAGGGTATTAGGTATGCGAGACAAGTCGGTGGATAAGGTTGCGGACCTCCAGAGACTGTGAATGTCACCTCCCAACTCGTCCAGTGTTAGCCAAAGTAGGATTAGGTTAGAAGAAGGTTTAGGGTGGCCAGATTAAAATGTAACACCAGTTTACAAAGGTTTTGACTAGGCCATATAGGGAGGTGTAGACTGTGTAGTTATACTTTTAGACAGCATTGAAGACTGTCAGTGACAATGGTGCAGATGAATTCACTCTTTGATATCAACAAAAGTTAAAACATTTTCACTATTCTTGATTGATTTCTTTGCTCATCTCCTACACACTTTTACCTACTTTAAAATCACTCTCTTCTACCCACTTGTTCTTCTCATGCTGCTATGAGTTATGGCACTTTTTTACAAGGTTTTATGTTGATTTGTCTGTCTGCCAAACAAAACTGTTCCATTTCTTAACAGCAGAAATGTAAAGATTTCAATGTAAATGAAGAAAACAACTTATCTTCACCTAGAATTTTATGGTTCACTAACTTAAACCACTTGACTTTCACCTCGCTCCATCCTAGATAACAGGATAGCATCATAAACCGCTATATATAACATGTACAATTAGTTGCCTAGTTCACAAATTTGAACGTGGTTGTAAATTTATCAGATTTCCAGCCCGATGCTCTACCGACTGAGCTACCATACACAGTTGCTGATCAATCACTTCAATCACTAAGAATTTCGCCCAATTGCTATATGAATTTGTGATACATGACTCTGTCAGTTCATCGTATTCACACACTGACTCCCAAGTCAGAACTTCTCTCACATCCAAATCCAATTAAAGTTGAATTAAAGAAAGGGAGCATCATATTGATTATCAGCTTGACTGTCTGAGATCACTGCGGTTTGATGAACTTTGTAGTTGGGATAAACGCTTAGTGATTGAAGTAAAATTGAGAGTTGTTCAGCAACGGGTTTCATACCGAGTGCCGAGCAGATAACCCGGAGGCAACCCAGATTTTCACTTCACTCTCACTCATCACCCAGTATCAATTAAATTTGGACAGAATAATTAACCCCCATTTTAAACATACAAATTAAACTTGTAAACATATATATGTTGTGAGGTAATGTTCATCACGAGCTGACATCAGTTAGAGGACCAATGAGAACCTGAGGGGCACTGAAAAGCTGTTTCGTCCTAGTATGCGACTCCTCAGCAGCAAGTGCCAACAACCCGGCTAGGAGTCGAACTTGGGACCTGCCAGTCTATGATGAATACTACCTCGAAACTAAAATATACATTTACCTCATAATACATTACACAATACTGTTCATTAGTGACATGCTTCCAGATGGATATCACGAAGCTCTAGTGAGACGTTGTGACTTGTAGGGTCAACCACAGCTGGAAGGGAAGAGGATGCTAACTTAAGACTTTGGGTGATAGTTGCGCTATGCTGCGAATGGACAAAAGTTGAAAACTGTGGACCACTGAACTCCAACCCAATAGTTGATTAGTTCATCGTGAAACCAGAAGGTCCTGAGTTCGATCCCTAACCGGTTCGTGGGTGTGTACTGCTGAAGAGTTCCATACTATGACGACATAGCTATCCAGTGCTCCAAGGTTTTCAGAGGTTCCCTAACTAATGTCGGTCCGTGACGAATATTACCTTTAAATTAAAATCCCCATTCATCTCAAAATATATTATACTTATGTGTACTTCTGGTATATTTGTCAACAGAGTACACTAAAGGATAAAGGTCAATGGAAATCAAATAGTGAAGAACCAACATGACCTTTGTTTAAAAAGGTTGATATTTATGTAGTGTAATTTGATACTTTGAATTACATTTCAATACAATTCACAAAGAACCATAACTCTAACTAGTACAGTTTACAATTTACTACAGCATGAACATTAATCAATCGATGTAACAATCTAAAAGGGAAACTAAATACTTTATGGTTCTTTTTCTCCCCTCCTCTCTTCTCTCTTTTATAACACGATTACAATTCACAATAAATAGGTGTGTATATATATGTGTGTGTGTGTGTGTATGTGAAGGTTTGTTCTCTTGATCCTTTACTAAAGGGATTTTTCGTGAATTATAAGATCTACAGTCAGTTAAAATCAATATAATAGTTCACGGAAAGAAATGAAAAATCTATTTTGATCTTTATTCAGTGACCAAAATATGACAGATATCCTTCATACTAAATGCGACTAAAGTTTTATTATCATTTGACCAAGATAGGTCTTCATTAACCTGAAATCAGTGTGGAGATCTACTCCTCTCAACATAAAGCGTGAACAACATCCGGATTTTCAACACTAATCGCAGTCAAGTCAGTGCTTCTATATGAGTCAAAAACTTGGCGCGTCACGAAAAGCGTTTCCAACAAACTACAAACATACAACATATCAACAGCTGCTGCCAACACTAGCTCACTCGATACTGACACTGAAGATCAGATCAGACGAGATGGCCAGAATAATAAGAATAAGCAACAAGGAACTCTGACTGGCCCCGCAAACGAACCAACCAACAACCCATCGACCAACAAATACGTAGAAGAAAGTGGAGATGGATTGGATTGGGTATACACTGAGAAGACTATTTGGGGACATCATGCGTCAGGCTATCGAACAAAAGCTTAATGGGACACAACGAGTTGGGCGTCCGAGAGTGACATGGAGATCGTGTGAGGAAGAAATAAAAGCTTATGAGCAGTGGTGGAGCCAGGTTACGAAGACTACATAGAACAGATTGAAATGGCGATATGCTACATAAGCCCTATGTTCCACTAGGAATCCAAGAGACAAATAATAGTCTGAGATAGCCATAGTTTGGCAGGCTAATATTTATACTGGGTGATGATTGAAAGTGAGATGAAAACTTCGACCACGGTGGTACTCTAACCAGCAACCACCGAGTTTTATTATGATACTGAAGATGAAATAAAGAGCTGGGTTAGGGTTTAAACACCACCAGCCTGATGTTCTACCGACTTAATTTAATAGCAATAATGACACTATAATAGCTATACAATTAAATAGATTCCTTCGATTGAAAAAGAAAAACTGTACATGTGTTTCGTTCCAATGTGAAGCTCACCTTCAGTAGTCTTTATGCTTTCCCAACAAAAAACACACGATTTTTATAAGTTACCTGATGGTGACTAGCAGTGGGATCACGGACGCACGTTTCGTCCTACTTGTGGCTCGTCAGCTGATGGTGCTCCCACAAACACTAAAATGTATGATTTGTTAGATGATGAGATGGTAAACAACACTACTTTATACATACACTTAAGGATAACTCACAAAATCTCGTTTCATTCACGTTACCTATTCCATTTACAGGGGGCGAATGGCGAACAGAGAGACTACAGTTCGTCCAGTGACGCTTCTAAAATATGCATCTGAGCTACTGGGTGTATGGAATTGAATGATAGTCTATAAATACTATGGAAAAATTACTCACCTATTTATGCTTAAACGTTAGGTGATGCAGTGTAAAATGTCTAACGTCACTCAGTCTACCTGTGATACACATACACACTAAATGAAACAAGTTCTCTTCAACCATGGAAAAAACGGTTATCGAACCAAGTCGACCGAGTGGATCAATGGCAAAGTGCTGGCCAAGGAGTCTGAAGGT